AACGTGAAGTCCTTCGATACACAAACCAAAAGGAACAAGAAACCACAAAACACAAAGTGCAAGACAAACAGTTAAATATGGCTCCCAATCAGAGACACCCAGCTGACACTCGTTGCCTCTGATTGGGAGTCACTCAGACCAACATAGAAAATTAAACATAGACTTACACACCCTGGCTCAACATAACATAGTCCCCAGAGCCAGGGCGTGACAGTACCCCCCCCCAAAGGCGCGGACTCCGGCCGCGCCAAACAACCACAACAGGGGAGGGACCGGGTGGGCACTCCGCCTCGGCGGCGGATCCGGCTCCGGACATGACCCAGGCACGGGTTGTGCTGGACTGACAACGCACACCCCTGGCTTGATGCGTGGAGGAGGAACGGGCCGGACCGGGCTGACGAAGCGCACCCCTGACTTGGTGCGGGGAGCAGGAATGAGCCGGACCGGGCTGGCGACGCGCACCACAGACTTGGTGCGGAGAGCAGGAACGGGCCGGGCTGGGCTGTCGACGCACACCGTAGGCTTTGTGCGTGGAGCAGGGACAGGCCGGGCTGGGCTGTCGACGCACACCACTGACTTGGTGGGAATGGCAGGAACAGGCCGGGCTGGGCTGACGACGCGCACCACTGACTTGGTGGGAATGGCAGGAACAGGCCGGGCCGGGCTGACGACGCGCACCACTGACTTGGTGGGAATGGCAGGAACAGGCCGGGCTGGGCTGACGACGCGCACCACTGACTTGGTGGGAATGGCAGGAACAGGCCGGACCGTACTGGGGACACACACCACTGGCCCCACGCAGGGATCAGGAACGGGCCGGACCGGACTGGTAATACACCCCAGTACCTCTCGCCGTGCCTCCACACTTTCCCTCTCCTCTGTGCCCAGTGGCCCCCCTAACCTGGCGGCCTTCTCTGCCAACGCTTTGCACCGCTCTAACCCGTACACCTGCTGGCCCGACGTCGTGAGCCCCCCCCTAAAAATTTCCTGGGGGTCTCTCCTCCCTCTTGCCAGACTCGCAATCATCTCCTCCCACGTCCATCCTCTCTCCTCGTCACGCTGCTTGATCCAGTCGAGGTTGCCACGGAGATCTGCCAGCGATGGCTCCTGAACACGCTGCTTGGTCTGGTTAAGGTGGGTCGGCGGTTTGTGGGGCCTTTTAAAGTCCTGAGGAGATTGAACGAGGTGAGTTACAGGTTAGAACTACCTATTGATTACAAGAATATTAACCCCTCGTTCCATGTGTCTCTCCTCAGGCCGGTGGTAGCTGGTCCACTCCAGGACTTTGAGATTGAGGAGACTCCTCCGCCCCCGTTGGACATCGAGGGGGCTCCGGCGTACACGGTTCGGACCATCCTGGATTCGAGACGCCGGATGGGGGGTCTCCAATATCTCGTGGAGTGGGAGGGGTACGGTCCGGAGGAGCGGTGCTGGGTGCCAAGGAGGGACATTCTGGATCCGTCCCTGATGACCGAATTCCATCGTGGTCATCCTGCGCGCCCTGCTCCGCGTCCCCCTGGTCGTCCCCGAGGCCGGAGGCGGCGCGCGGCTGGAGCCGCGCGTCAAGGGGGGGGTACTGTCACGGTTTCGGCCGAGGCGGCTCCTCCTCCTTGTTCGGGCAGGTTTCGCCGGTCGTCGTCTCCGGAGTTCTAGCTGCCACCGCTCTATGTTTCTTGTTTGTTTGGTTTTGTCTGTTAGTCACACCTGTTTTGTGTTAGGTCTCATTTAGCACCCTATTTAGTTTCCTTGTTGTTAGGTTAGTGTTGTGTGTAATTGTTCGTGTCGTGGTTGCGCTACCCATGTCGGTACGCTATTTTCCTTAGTTTCCTCCTTGTGTGTTAGGAGAGTTTTACGCACCTGTGTGTGCGCTCGCATTTACGCCTGTGTGCGTCCTTTTTGCCTCCGGGCTGTTTTGGATATATTTTTGTGCTTAAGTAAAGTCTTGTTGGACTTATCCTCTGCTGCCTGCGCCTGATTCTACACCACACCTATACACAGCAACGTGACACTGGGGCCTTTCAGAACAGGTGTGTATATATACTGAGATCATGTGACAGATCATGTGACACTTAGATTGCACACTGGTGGACTTTATTTAACTAATTATGTGACTTCTGAAGGTAATTGGTTGCACCAGATCTGATTTAGGGGCTTCATAGCAAAGGGGGTGAATACATATGCATGCACCACTTTTCCGTTATTTATTTCTTTGAATTTTTTTTAACAAGTTATTTTTTTTCATTTCACTTCACCAATTTGGAATATTTTGTGTAAAAATGACATGGGGAATATTTAAAAAATATCCTAAAACTGAATCTTTACAATGAGCATTATGATGCATAAACATGACACTAGGTAAGGGATAATCAATGAGGGGCTATGCGTTCTATGGAAAATAATGAACAACATGGAGTGTTCCATGACGCTCTAGAGAAGTGGAACTGACCTTCCATGGAGTTGCATTATTTTCCAGAGAACACACAGAGCCCCGAGTTGATTATCCCTTTTATACCATAGCTATAATTTAACACATTTGCCACTAACAATGTGTTCATTTGTTGGTAGAAATGTGTTCAACATCCTCTGAAGTAGATAGCAAGTTTACATGATAGCTACAGTAGTTGCCGTGTAACCTAATAAACAGACTTGCTTGTTTAGCTAACCAAACCATCAATCCTAGCTTGCTATTATCTAAATCGAATTCAACAATACCAATACGGTTTTCAATTTGACTTTTACTTTCAAAAGTAGCTCAAACAAAACATTTAAAAATGAAATAGAGCCATTGAATTCTACCGTGTAAATATACCATGCGTTAGAGGGAAATAATGCACGCTCTAGAATGCCCTTCATGCCAATCAGAAAGGAGTATTCAACAATGCTATGTAAATGAATGTCTAGAATTAGAACAGTATTCCAAATTCTAAAAGTTGGCCTAACTCTCTAAATATATGGCTCTGGGCCCATCTCATCTTCCTGTTAAAACAACAATGAGTGCGGTTACATGCACACAATAATGCGATTATTGTGGATAGTTTTATTAATATAATAGTTTGTTTAAAACGTTTACATGCTTTGCATGAAGAACGATTTCCCTAATAATCCTGTTTACATCTGAAATCAGGCTACCTGTGTCACAAACGTTGACTGATGACTCGTGGAACCAAGGCGCAGCGTGATAAGCGTACATTTTATTTAGTACACAACACACGAACAAAACAACAAAACGAACGATACGTGAAGTCCTGAGGTTACAACAACACAAACCTTTACGGAACAAGATCCCACAAACTAACTGGTGCCAACAGGCTGCCTAAGTATGGTCCCCAATCAGAGACAACGAGCTACAGCTGCCTCTGATTGGGAACCACCCTGGCCAACATAGATCTAAACGATCTAGAACAAAAACCATAGAAAACGAAACATAGAAAAATCCACACCCTGGCTCAACATTTAAGAGTCTGTCACGGTTTCGGCCGAGGCTGCTCCTTCTCCTTGTTCGGGCAGGCTTCGGCGGTCGTCGTCTCCGGAGTACTAGCTGCCACCGTTCTATGTTTCTATGTTTGATTAGTTTTGTCTGATTGTTACACCTGTTCATTGTTAAGTGTTCATTATGCGTCCTATTTAGTTCTCTTGTGTTTGGTCAGGTGTTGTGTATATTGTTCGATGTCACGTGTAGTAGTTGGTTCGCTGTTCTGTGCTCTCTGTATTTCGTTTTGTTTGAGAGAGTCCTGCACGTTGTGCGCATTTACTTTGGTTCTTACCAGTGTGCGTATGTTTCGCCTGTGGCCTGTTGCCGTGTTTGGCTTGTATTTTCGGACTTCACTAAAGACATCTGTTTCGAATCTCTGTGTGTCCTGCGTGTGATTCCACGTTACCTCTACACTCAACCCTGACAGAGTCCCCAGAGCCAGGGCGTGACAACCTGATGGCACTCTGATAAATGCAGAAAATCGGCAATCAAAATAATCGTTCTACCACAGAAAACATGTTATTTTTGGGAAGCATATTTGATTCTGAGTTCGGACATATAAAGTTTGTATGTGAAAACTACTTCTACGACACATACATTCAGTTGTTCTGAAAACACTCGCGCTAAAGAGGGAGGCTCGCTCGGCTGGTGCTAGCACTGTGTAGATCAAATACACAGCTGGAACACCAATTAAGTTATTAGAACAATATAAAACATTCTAAAAGTTTGCCTAACTCTCTATGGCTTTGATGTTGTTCCGTTCTGTGTCATAATCAATGTAATTACCAGATACATTCTATTCCATAAAAGGAAAATCCTGTAACCTGGTGATGTCATAAGTGGTCTACAAAACAATTTGAAACTATGTCAATTTGAACTATGCAGTTATGGGTCCTTCATTTTTTGTTTTTTAAAGGCAAGACAGTTGTAATCATATTTTCCCAAAATCAACCGGATACTTCATTCGTTGAAATTAGCGGTGGGAAATCTATTAATTGTTTGTACCGATTTTTGTCCATATAATTATGCAATCAATGCACTGTACATCATGATTTCTTAGTTTAGTAGTTTATGCACTGTTAAAACTGAATTTTTACACATAGTCCTGTTTAAAGGCAGCTCTGTCAGGAAGCTACTGTATATTTACATTTAACATTTAAGTCATTTAGCAGACGCTCTTATCCAGAGTGACTTACAAATTGGTGCATTCAACTTAGGATAGCCAGTGGGACAACCCCCCCCCCCCCCCTTTTTGGGGGGGAGAGAACTTGGGATGGTTGAACACCATAAATGGGCCATGCTGAAAATCTGAGACTGGGGGCTGGGGGCTGGGGGCTGGGGGCTGGGGGCTGAGGGCTGGGGGCTGAGGGCTGGGCGAGGAAAAAATCACCACATCTGTCATTGTGATGGGTTTTCTGCTTTAAAGATATATTTTAGCATCCAATGCTGCCCTCACATAAATGATGCTCACTCCACTCTCTTTGCCTGCACTCTGTCTCCCCTGCCTCCCCACCCCTGGCCCATTTAGCTGGATAAGAGCGAGGTGACAACGTTGGGCCTGCCCCCCTCAGCCAGCCATGGAGCCTCTGACGCCTCTCACATCAGCGTGGATGGGGCAGGGGCTGTGGCCGAGGTGGGAGCTCTAGCCGGATGGGCTGAAGGGTCAGTGGTTGTCGAGGCCCAATGGACACGCACTGCTCTGGAGCAGCTACAGCAGAAGATCTTGAAGATCACTGAGCAGATTCGCATAGAACAGGAGGCACGAGATGACAACGTGGCCGAATACTTGAAGCTGGCCCACAATGCCAACAGGCATCAGGCTTTCCGTATCAAACAGGTGTTTGAGAAGAAGAACCAGAAGTTTGCACAGACCATCACCCACCTGCTCAAAAAGCTAGAGCACTACCACAAGAAGTTGAAGGAGATAGAGCAGGTGAGTGTGTGTGCAGGTGTGTGTCTGTGTGTGTGTGTGTGTGAGAGAGAGAGAGAGACAGACAGACAGACAGACAGACAGACAGACAGACAGACAGACAGACAGACAGACAGACAGACAGACAGACAGACAGACAGACAGACAGACAGAGAGAGAGAGAGAGAGAGAGAGAGAGAGAGAGAGAGAGAGAGAGAGAGATGGGTCCTCTTTTAAGTTGACACCGTTTCCCCCTTTCTCCTTATAGCATGGTCTAGGCCAGCAGTATAAGGATGTGGTGGTGGAAATGCAGCAGGGGCTGAAGGATGTAGGAGCCAACGTACGAGCAGGGATCAGTGGCTTTGGTGGAGGTTTGGTGGAGGGGGTCAAAGGAGGGGCGTCAGAACTCACCCATACCGCTGTGGTATCTAAGCCAAGGGAGTTTGCCAGCTTGATCAAATTCGGCAGCACAGACACCATAGAGGACGGTGTAGAGGGGCATTCAGACAACGCACCCCTGAGTGGCTGCTTCACCTTGGCCTCCAGCCCCAAGTACGGCAGTGATGATGAGTGCTCCAGTGACGTCAGTGATGACGAGTGCTCCGGGGCCAGGGGAGGAGGGGGGATGTTGGGGCTGGGGCCGGGCAGGCTGGATGGGTACCACCATCATAGTTCCTGGGATGCCCAGCTGGTAGGCCTGCAGGAGATCAAGGCCAGCCAGGCCCACATGGAGGACGCCATCGAGGACATGAAGAGTCAGCTGCAGAGTGACTACTCCTATATGAAACAGTGCCTGCAGGAGGAGAGATACAGGTATGAGCAACTGGAAGAGCAGCTGAACGACCTGACAGAGCTGCACCAGAAGGAGATGTCCAACCTGAAACATGAGCTGGCCAGCATAGAGGAGAAAGTGGCCTACCAGTCTGATGAGATAACCAGAGACTCTCAGGTAAAGAGGAAGACACTGTGTATAATCAGCTGTGTAGTGGAGGGTAAACACATGTAAAAGCAGTTTATTCACCTTTTTTATTTTGAGTATTTACCCACCTTTTACAGAAAAATGCAATGAAAGTATAGAGAGCATTATTTTACTCACCGCAAACTGCGATCAGCGTTTACCCACCTATTTTTAAAAAACCATTAATTAACAGTAATTTCGATCCTAATGTGCAAATTGTCCAAATAGATACGCAAGGTAGATGGATTATTTTAAATATGTTATTGGACCATAAACAGATATGGCTCATTAACCTTTACGGACCAAATAATGATGATCCACACTTCTTTGACAATATATATATATAATAAATGATCAACCCTGCAAGCAATTCAAGACTCTATTATTATGGTGGGAGATTATAATACTGTTTTAAATAGCTCAATGGACCGTAAAGGAAATCACTCTACAAACAATCACCCTCATGCTCTTAAGGAAATCGTGAATGTCATGGATACATTAGAACTAGTAGATATATGGAGGCTTAAATATCCTGATCTAGTGAGATATACATGGCGGAGAATAGAATTAAAAAGGTATTGTCAGACATTATTCATTCTAATCAGACAGGTTGGAAGATACATTGGAGATAATATAAGGCAAGTACTGGAAACAATAGAACACTATGAAAAATCTGGGAAACCAGGCCTGCTATTCATAGCAGACTTCGAAAAGGCATTTGATAAAGTATGACTGGGGTTTATATATAAATGCCTGGAGCATTTCAATTTTGGAGAATCTTTTATAAAATGGGTTAAAATCATGTATAGTAAACCTAGGTGTAAAATAGTAAATAATGGCTATTTCTCAGAAAGTTTTAAACTGTCAAGAGGAGTGAAACAAGGTTGTCCACTATTGGCATATCTATTTATTATGGCCATTGAGATGTTAGCTATTAAAATCAGATCCAACAATAATATCAAGGGATTAGAAATCCAGGGCTTAAAAACAAAGGTGTCATTGTACGCTGATGATTCATGTTTTCTTTTAAATCCACAACTTGAATCCCTCCACAGCCTCATAGAGGATCTAGATACATTTTCTAACCTCTCTGGATTACAACCAAATTATGATAAATATACTATATTACGTATTGGATCACTATAAAATACAATTTTTACATTACCATGTAGTTTACCAACACAATGGTCTGATGGTGATGTGGATATACTCGGAATACATATCCCAAATGAAATAAATGATCTCACTCCAATAAATGTCAATAGAAAGTTAGCAAAAATAGATAAGATCTTGCTACCATGGAAAGGTAAATACCTGTCAATTTGTAGAAAAATCACCCTGATTAACTCTTTAGTATTATTCCAGTTTACCTATTTGCTTATGGTCTTGCCTACACCTAGCGAACAGTTTTTTTAAATTATATGAGAAAAAAATATTCAATTTTATTTGGAACGGCAAGCCAGACAAAATTAAAAGGGCCTATTTCTATAATGAATATGAATTTGGAGGACAGAAATTATTAAATATTAAAGCATTAGACCTATCACTAAAAGCTTCAGTCATACAAAAGTTATACTTAAATCCGAACTGGTTCTCTAGCAAATTAGTAGGATTGTCTCACCCAATGTTCAAGAATGTTTTTTTCCCTTTATTCAGATTACAACCTCTCACTTTCAGTTATTTGAAAAGGAAATCATCTCCCAAATATCACTCTTTCTAAAACAAGCCATAGAAAGTTGGTTGCAATTTCAATTTAATCCTCCAGAAACGACAGAACAAATAATGCAACAAATATTGTGGTTAAACTCAAATATACTAATTGATAAAAAAAACTTTTTTTTTACAAAATGTTTAAAAAAGGTATAATCTTCGTAAATGATATCATCGGTAGGACTGGTGGAGTTATGTCGCACATGCAGCTAACAAAAACATATAGAAATGTCTGCTCTACCCAAAATTACAACCAAATAATTGTAGCATTACTGCAAAAATGGAAGAGGAAAGTGGAGGGGGGAAAAAGTAAGGAACTTGTCTGTCGGCCTTGCATTAAAGAACAAAATTGGTTAAAGAAAACTGTGATAAATAAAAAAGTATACCAGTTTCATTTAAGGACCAAAGGGTTGACAGCCATCCCATATAGATTGCAAAATAGTTGGGAAGAGATTGTTTATGTATCGATCCCATGGCATAGTGTTTATGAACTGATACGGAAAACGACGGCGGATTCAAAGCTTAGAATTCTTCAATTTAAATTATTATATAAAATTCTTGCTACCAATATAATGTTATTTATATGGGTGATACAATCTTCCCAGCTCTGCAGATTTTGCTGCGAAGAGACTTGATCATTTGTTTTGGTACTGTCCATTTGTAGCTTGTTTTTGGACACATGTCCAGGAATGGCTAAAGGATTGCAATATTTACCTGGAGCTAACACTGCAGATAGCATTACTGGGTTATCTGAAAAGTCATAGTCAATCGATCAATAATATAATAATACTTTTAGCAAAAATGTTTATTTTCAATTTACAACCTGTAGTAACAATGAGAATAGAAAGGTTCAGAACTTTTGTAAAACATCACAGTACAGTTGAAAAATATATGGCAAATAGAAATCCAATATGGATGGTGTTAAGAGATAGATGGGTGGTGTTGAATGGAGTTGAAGGATGGGACTAATAACAACTAACAGCTAATAACAACAAGATAACTAATAATGTAAGCATACTGTGTCCATAATAAGTATATAGGTTATAGGTTGAGCGCTTTTGTGAAAGAGCACAGTTAGAAAGATATGGCATATAGAAGCAAACCCGATGGACATCATGAAAATGATCGGAGAGGTTGAGGGTAGAGGAAGTTCAGGAGTAAAAACAAACAAAATATAATTATTGTAAAATTGACTGTGTCCATAAAATGTATATAGTATGTATAAGCTTGAAGTAGAGGCCTAAGCATTGTTGTTCACTAGTTTACTCTAATTAGGGAAGGGGTGGTGGGGTTGGAATGTAATAAAGGGAAATATTTTTTTTTAAAGGATATGTATATGTATGTCTATATATATGTATGTATGTATGTATGTATATGTATGTATGTGTATATATATATATATTTGCGAGAGAAAAAAAACATATGGGGGATTGGAAGTGATGCAGACAATTACATTGATGGAAGTTACAATCTATCTGCAATATTAAAGGTGATTAAAGCTTTGTACATGTAGGTAGGTGTAAAGTGACTATGCATAGATAATAAACAGCGAGGAGGGGGGGGGGGTCAATGTAAATAGCCCGGGTGGCAATTTGATTACTTGTTCAGCAGTCTTATGGCTTGGGGGTAGAAGCTGTTAAGGAGCCTTTTGGACCTAGACTTGGCGCTCCGGTACCGCTTGCTGTGCGGTAGCAGAGAAAAAAGTATATGACTTGGGTGACTGGAGTCTTTGACAATTTTCTGGGCCTTCCTCTGACACCGCCTTGTATATAGGTCCTGGATGTCAGGAAGCTTGGCCCCAGCGAAGTACTGGGCCGTACCCACTACCCTCTGTAGCGCCTTACGGTCGGATGCCGAGCAGTTGCCATACCAGGCGGTGATGCAACCGGTCAGGATGCTGTCGATGGTGCAGCTGTATTACTTTTTGAGGATCTGGGGAACCATGGCAAATCTTTTTAGTCTCCTGAGGGGGAAAAGGCGTTGTCGTGCCCTCTTCACGACTGTCTTGGTGTGTTTGGACCATGATAGTTTGTTGGTGATGTGGACACCAAGGAACTTGAAACTCTCGACCCACTCCACTACAGCCCCGTCGATGTGAATGGGGACCTGTTCGGCCCTCATTTTCCTGTAGTCCACGATCAGCTCCTTTGTCTTGCTCACATTGAGGGAGAGGTTGTTGTCCTGTCACCACACCACCAGGTCTCTGACCTCCTCCCTATAGGCTGTCTCATCGTTGTCAGTGATCAGGCCTACCACTGTTGTGTCGTCAGCAAATGTAATGATGGTGTTGTAGTCATGCTTGGCCATGCAGTCGTGGGTGAACAGGGAGTACAGGAGGGGACTAAGCACGCACCCCTGATGGGCCCCAGTGTTGAGGATCAGCGTGGCAGATGAGTTGTTGCCTACCCATACCACCTGGGGTGGCCCATCAGGAAGTCCAGGATCCAGTTGCAGAGGGAGATGTTTAGTCCCAGGGTCATTAGCTTAATGATGAGCTTTGTAGGCAATATGGTGTTGAACGCTGAGCTGTAGTGAATGAACAGCATTCTCACATAAGAGTTCCTTTTGTCCAGGTGGGAAAGGGCAGTGTGGAGTGCGATTGAGATTGCGTCATCTGTGGATCTGTTGGGGTGGTATGCGAATTGGAGTGGGTCTAGGGTTTCCGGGATGATGGTATTGATATTAGCCAAGACCAGCCTTTCAAGGCAGTTCATGGCTACCAACGTGAGTGTTACGGGGCGGTAGTCATTTAGGCAGGTTACCTTCATTTTCTTGGGCACAGGGACTATGGTGGTCTGCTTGAAACATGTAGGTATTACAGACTCGGTCAGGGAGAGGTTGAAAATATCAGTGAAGACACTTGCCAGTTGGTCTGCGCATGCTCTGAGAACACGTCCTGGTAATCCATCTGGCCCCGTGGCCTTGTGAATGTTGACCTGTTTAAAGGTCTTGCTGACATCGGCTACGGAGAGCGTGATCACACAGTCATCCGGAACAGCTGATGCTCTCATGCTTGCTTCAGTGTTGCTTGCCTCGAAGCGAGCATAAAAGGCATTTAGCTAATCTGGTGGGCTCGCGTCACTGGGCAGCTCGCAGATAGGTTTCCCTTTGTAGTCCGTAATAGTTTGCAAACCCTGCCACATCCGACGAGCGTCAGAGCCGGTGTAGTAGGATTCAATCTTAGTCCTGCATTGACACTTTGCCTGTTTGATGGTTCGTCTGAGGGCATAGCGGGATTTCTTATAAGTGTCCGAATTAGTGTCCCACTCCTTGAAAGTGGCAGCTCTAGCCTTTAGCTTGGTATGGATGTTGCCTGTAATCCATGGCTTCTGGTTGGGATATGTACGTACGGTCACTGTGGGGACGTCGTCGTCGTGCACTTATTGATGAAGCCGGTGACTGAGGTGGTATACTCTTCAATGCCATTGGATGAATCCCGGAACATATTCCAGTCTGTGCTAGCAAAACAGTCCTGTAGCGTAGAATCCGCATCATCTGATCAATTCCGTATTGAGCGAGTCACTGGTACTTCCTGCTTTAGTTTTTACTTGTAAGAAGGAATCAGGATGATAGAATTATGGTCAGATTTGCCAAATGGAGGGCGAAGAAGAGCTTTGTATGCGTCTCTGTGTGTGGAGTAAAGGTGGTCTAGAGTTTTTTTTCCCTCTGGTTGCACATGTGACATGCTGATAGAAATTAGATTAAACTGATTTAAGTTTGACTGCATTAATGTCCCCGGTCACTAGGAGCGACGCTTCTGGATGAGCATTTTCTTGTTTGCTTATGGCCTTATACAGCTTGTTGAGTGCGGCCTTAGTGCCAGCATCGGTTTGTGGTGGTAAATAGACGGCTATGAATAATATAGATGAAAACTCTCTTGGTAGATAGTGTGGTCTACAGCTTATCATTAGGTACTCTACCTCAGGCGAGCAATACCTCGAGACTTCTTTAACATTAGACTGCGCACCAGCTGTTATTGACAAATAGACACACACACCCACCCCTCGTCTTACTCGTCATACTTTTTTTTCCGTCTTACCAGACTTAGCTGCTCTGTCCTGCCGATGCACAGAAAACCCAGCCAGCTCTATATTATTTGTGTCATTGTTCAGCCACGACTCGGTAAAACATAAGATATTAGTTAGTAGGATAGTCTCGATCGTAGATCATCCAGTTTATTTTCCAGTGATTGCATGTTGGCCAATTGAACGGATGGTGGAGGCAGTTTACCCACTCGCCGACAAATTCTCACAAGGCACCCCTACCTCTGCCCCCTGTATTTCCGTCTTTTCTTCACGTGAATGACGGGGATTTGGGCCTGGTCTCGGGGAAGCAGTATATCCTTCGCGTTTGATTCATTAAAGAAAAAATCTTCGTCCAGTTCGAGGTGAGTAATCGCTGTTCTGATGTCCAGAAGCTGTTTTCGGCCATAAGAGACCGTAGCAGCAACATTATGTACAAAATAAGTTACTAACAATGTGAAATAACTAACAAATTAGCACAGTTGGTTAGGAGCCCGTAAATGGCAGCCATCCCCTCCGGCACCAATTATGTTATATGTTTTTGTACAGGAGGCGGTGGAGTCGTGCCTGACCCGCATCACTAAGTTGGAGCTGCAGCAGCAGCAGCAGCAGATGGTGCAGTTGAAGGGTGTGGAGAACGCCAACGCCCGCGCCCTGCTGGGCAAACTCATCAACATCATCCTGGCTGTCATGGCCGTAGTGCTAGTGTTCGTCTCCACCCCAGCCAACTTCATCACTCCGCTCATAAAGACCCAAGCTCGGGGGGCCGCCACCGTCCTACTGGCCCTTTTTCTGTTCGTCCTTTGGAAGCACTGGGACTTCCTGGTGCTCTGGCTACTGCCAGGCTGAGCCCTCCACAGTCCAACACATTTACATTTTTACACTTTAGTCATTTAGCAGACGCTCTAATCCAGAGTGATTTACAGTTAGTGAGTGCATACATTTTTCACCTACACACATTGATTAAACTTGACCTACCACCTATAAGATATAAAGAAATCTTGACACAAATTGTACCCCCATTTAACCGCAATATATTTAAACAATATACAGTATATAAAATGTTTTATTCATCTCATTAAATTGGGAAAATTTAAAAATGTAGGCCAAGGATAAGCCTACACTGCTGCCTGCAACATTGAACCACTCTAGAATACCTGACTCATTATTATGTTGCAGGCAGCTAATGATTTTTTTGTAATCAATTCAATTCAGCACTTAATCAGATCCACAAGGAGCCTAATGAATAATTCAGTGTCGTCCTCTGAGAACCTCCTGGGGTCAAAGACAAACGCTTTTCTGACAGGCAGCTTGCTAGCTGCGTCACACGACCACCACAGTGCCGCGACGCGCCACGCAGCACACCTCAGCAAGAATAGAATCTGAACTTAATAGTTTCCTGCCCTACAGTAGCTGGCTTGAATTTAGCAATTAGACTATAGGCTGCTGCAGTGCAATATACTGTATATGATATCTAGAGGTGGTTGTGGTTTCAACACTATGGGCTAGTGTGGAACACAGTTGTGTAAATCTGTTCTTTGATTGTGGGTGTAAGTTGGGTGTAAATAGAAAGACAATAGGCCTACAAAGCAAGCCTAGGTGGAATTGGCCTGTCTGATCTACTTTTCTAGGCTACACGCTCTCCACAAGCAAATTCAAATGAAAATGGCCTGGCTGACAGTCTACCTTTCTAGTTTTTCCCACAGCCTGTGGTCGGTACGTGCGTAGGAGCATTGCCATGGCTAGGCTATATGCTGTTACAGGCGAGAGCTGCGGTAGTTGTGGGGGTGGTGGTTTAGCTCACAAATGCATCACTATGCATCTACATTCTCATCCAGTGTTGACTCTAACCATCAGTGTATATTCTATGTCTAAATTCATTAAAGGCCCAGTGCACTCAAAAACGTGATTTTCCTGTGTTTTATATACACTAAGTATACCAAACATTAGGAACACCTTCCTAATGTTGAGTTGCACTCTACAAGGTGTTGAAAGCATTCTGCAGGAACGCTGGCCTATGTTGACTCCAATGCTTCCCACAGTTTTGTCAAGTTGGCTGGGCGTCCTTTGGGACATTCTTGATACACACAGGAAACTGTTGAGCGTGAAAAACCCAGCAGCATTGCAGTTCTTAACACAAACCGATGCGCCTGGCACCTACTACCATATTCCGTTCAAAGGCACTTAGATTTTTTGTCTTGCCCATTCACCCTCTGAATGGCACACATACGCAATCCATGTCTCAATTGTCTCAAGGCTTAAAAATCCTTTAACCTGTCTCGTCCCCTTCATCTACACTGATTGAAGTAGATTTAACAAGTGACATCAATGATGGATCATAGCTTTCGCCTGGATTCACCTGGTCAGTCTATGTCATGGAAAGAGTGTTCTTAATGTTTTGTATACTCAGTATATATTTCCACACTATGAGGTTGGAATAATACTGTGAAATTATGATAATTTTTTGTGTAAGAGCGGTTTGAAAAGATTGCCTGAAATGTCAATCTGTTTAGGTGGGATGAAGTTTTGGCCTGCCTGCTGACATCACCAGGTAGTAAATTAATTAATGGACCAATAAGAAAGAGAGTTCCAAACCTCTCTGCCAATAACAGCTATTTTTCACTTTTCCCCTCCCCACTCAGACCACTCCCAGACAGTCCTAGCAAAATCCTTGCTTGAGATTTTTGTATATTTTTGACCCTTTTAATTGAAAACATTCACAGTAAGGTACTTAATTGTTACCCAGAAATGATTTGATATTGTGATGAAAATGGCTGCATTGGACCTTTAAAGCAGAGACTTGTGTTTCTAATGGAGGGGGCTATGCAGTGCTTTCTCTCGGTTACTCACTGTGTCCTGTTCCTCTCTCTCCCTTTATCCTCCTCTCTCCCTCCCCTCCAGTCTTCTTGCCTTTCCCACTAATCCCACTTTCCCCTCCTATTTTCTCTTTCTTTGCATCTGCGCTCCCCACTCCTCCCTCTCTCTTTTTCTCTCCTGCTTCTATTCTTGCCAGTCTCTCTCTCTCTCTCTCTCTCTCTCTCTCTCTCTCTCTCTCTCTCTCTCTCTCTCTCTCTCTCTCTCTCTCTCTCTCTCTCTAACACACACTCTCTCTACTGTTTCTCTCCCTCTCTTTCTACCTCTCCCGTTTCTCTCTCCCCCAAGGTGACTTTCCTTCCTATACAGGCTCTGCAGATGTTTTCCCTTTGTTCTGGAAGGCATAAGCGATGAGAGAGATGGGGAACAAAGACTGAGGGGGGGAAAGAGAAGGAAAGGGATGAGATGAAGGACAGAGTTAGGTATAGAGAAGGGAACTAAAAGGATTAACAGAGGAGTAAAAATCTATATTGTTATTTGTCGCGTAACCATATCAGTATGGTGCACACACATGCACACCCACACACATACAAAACAACAACATACTGGACGTTAACAATCTGGCTTAATAAGGTTAGGAGGGTGTTAAGAGGAGAGGTGAGTTGCAGTGTAAAGTAGTGGAAGGTGTTGGTAGAGGACAAGTTTACCTGAACACACCAGTATTCATCTTCATTAGCTTCCTGTTGTCACAGCATTGGAGAGAGGGAGGAAGGGATGACATATTATTATTAAAGAAGAGCAGAGTGGCTGCAGTCAGCAGTAAATACTGTAAGAATCTAGGACAGAGATGCTAAATTTAGGGATCAGAGAAAGAACAGGGAGTGGGGTAGCAGGGGATGTAGAATGGAGAAGGGCTATTGTAGGAGGATAACTTATATTCCATCTATATGGATATATGATCTCTGTGGTAACTTCTATCTGCACAGGGTGAACTTTAAATTGCTCTATGCAAAGGAATGTTATTGTCCTCTCAGGAATTCTGTCTTATTAACATTGTTCTCATCCCCCACACAAGCCTTTAGATGCTGTGACATCCTGTGGAGATTGGGCCTGGGTGGTCAGGTTACTGTAAACTTGGTATCGTTTGATTGGTCAATGGTGGTTGGTTTTGGTTTGAAACAGTTACATCTTCAAAAGTAATGAAATCCCTTTGTTCTGTCTCTTAACCTGTAGCCTGTCCATGGATGGAGGTTGTATGATCAATTCTAATTTCCTAGGCTTCTAGGCATCTCTTTGTTCATGCTTTGTCTTGTAAGTTAACCTAAGGATCTACAGTGGCTTGCGAAAGTATTCACCCCCCTTGGCATTTTTCCTATTTTGTTGCCTTACAACCTGGAATTAAAATTGATTTTTGGGGGGTTTGTATCATTTGATTTACACAACATGCCTATCACTTTGAAGATGCAAAATATTTTTAATTGTGAAACAAACAAGAAATAAGACAAGAAAAAAGAAAACTTGAGCGTGCATAACTATTCACCCCCCTAAAGTCAATACTTTGTAGAGCCACCTTTTGCAGCAATTACAGCTGCAAGTCTCTTGGGGTATGTCTCTATAAGTGTCACGCCCTGACTCAGGGGACTCTTATATGTTGAGTCAGGGTGTGTATATTCTTTGTGGTGTTTTCTATGTTTTGATTCTAGTATGTGTATTTCTATGTTGGCCGGTGTGGTTCCCAATCAGAGGCAGCTGTCGCTCGTTGTCTCTGATTGGGGACCATACTTAAGCAGCCTATTGGCACTGTCTAGTTGTGGGATCTTGTTCCGTGTAAGGTATGTTGTGTGTGCTACCTTGGACTTCACGTTTCGTTTCGTCGAGTGTTTATTGATTTAATAAACATGTACGTATATCACGCTGCGCCTTGGTCTGACCCGTCATTCAACGAACGTGACAATAAGCTTGGCACATCTAGCCACTGGGATTTTTGCCCATTCTTCAAGGCAAAACTGCTCCTTTAAGTTGGATGGGTTCCGCTGTTGTACAGCAATCTTTAAGTCATACAACAGATTCTCAATTGGATTGAGGTCTGGGCTTTGACTAGGCCATTCCAAGACATTTAAATGTTTCCCCTTAAACCACTAAAGTGTTGCTTTAGCAGTATGTTTAGGGTCATTGTCCTGCTGGAAGGTGAACCTCCATCCCAGTCTCAAATCTCTGGAAGACTGAAACAGGTTTCCCTCAAGAATTTCCCTGTATTTAGCGCCATCCATCATTCCTTCAATTCTGACCAGTTTCCCAGTCCCTGCTGATGAAAAACATCCCCACAGCATGATGCTGCCACCACCATGCTTCACTGTGGGGATGGTGTTCTCGATGTGATGAGAGGTGTTGGGTTTGCGCCAGACATAGCGTTTTCCTTGATGGCCAAAAAGCTCAATTTTAGTCTCATCTGACCAGAGTACCTTCTTCCATATGTTTGGGGAGTCTCCCACATGCCTTTTGATGAACACCAAACGTGTTTGCTTATTTTTTTCTTTAAGCAATGGCTTTTTTCTGGCCACTCTTCTGTAAAGCCCAGCACTGTGGAGTGTACGGCTTAAAGTGGTCCTATGGACAGATACTCCAATCTCCGCTGTGGAGCTTTGCAGCTCCTTCAGGGTTATCTTCGGTCTCTTTGTTGCCTCTCTGATTAATGCCCTCCTTGCCTGGTCCGTGAGTTTTGGTGGTGTGGCCCTCTCTTGGCAGGTTTGTTGTGGTGCCATATTCTTTCATTTTTTTAATAATGGATTTAATGGTGCTCCGTGGGATGTTCAAAGTTTCAGATATTTTTTTATAACCTAACCCTGACCTGTACTTCTCCACAACTTTGTCCCTGACCTGTTTGGAGAGCTCCTTGGTCTTCATGGTGCCGCTTGCTTGATGGTGTTGCAGACTCTGGGGCCTTTCAGAACAGGTGTATATATACTGCGATCATGTGACACTTAGATTGCACACAGGTGGACTTTATTTAACTAATTATGTGACTTCTGAAGGTAATTGGTTGCACCAGATCTTATTTAGGGGCTTCATAGCAAAAGGGGTGAATACATATGCACGCACCACTTTTCCGTTATTTATTTTTTAGAATTTTTTGAAACAAGTAATTTTTTTCATTTCACTTCACCAATTTGGACTATTTTGTGTATGTCCATTACATGAAATCCAAATAAAAATCCATTTAAATTACAGGTTGTAAATGAAAATGCCAAGGGGGATGAATACTTTTGCAAGGCACTGTATATGCCTAGAATTATGCTTAGTTAATGTCAGTATTGCCTTTTAACTTAAGCTTTATGCCTTGAATGTGAATCTATTCATTTTACAAAGTTATTAAATAATACTTGCTTTGATATTCACTTCCTTGATCTTAGTCAGCTATACCGATAATACTTGATTGCATATGGTTTTACTATAATATTTAATGGAATCAGAGGGCATAGGCCCACCCATGGCTGCACCCCTGCTCAGTCATGTGAAATCAATAAATTAGGGGCTAATTCTATGAACTGTAACATATTTGAAATTGTTGCATGTTGCGTTTATATTTTTGTTCAGTGTGTATGGCTTTGCAAGGAAAGTCAAACTCTCCACAAGGAGGGGGAGAAACCAACGTGTTGACCGTTATATGAGGGTGACACTGATTATGAAGTCAGATAGCAGGGCTACCTCATCACGAGGCTGTGAGCCTAACTCACGTCTGCTACATTAGCCTGCACAAAACATCGGTGACAAACTTGGGGACTTAATCAGACACATAATTTATACATTCACAGCTTATTTTGATTTGACTAAATGAAATGCTGTTTTCAAATGAAACAAAATACCTTGCTCTTGTTAAAGCTTTTAGAATGTATTTGTTTATTTGAGCATGTAGAGTGGTGTTACATCGATAGTCAATGACGTTTTTCTTTGTGTGTCGAACTCATTGCAATATTAATAGAAATTGCATGTCAATAGCTTGTTCATGATTAATATTGTCCCCATGTCGTCAAAATGGAAGAACCACTTTTCACAGAGTGCTGTCATAGATTTTAATCAACTAGATGAAAATTGTAAATGAGATTGGTCTTAAAGGAAATGTGATCAAGTCAATTAAATATTTTCTAACCTTATCTATCATGACATGCATCATACTGACTGCCTTTAGGTCCTATAAGAGCTCTTCACACTAACCATCAAACAGCACCAATTCCTGAATGCTCAGAGCCACAGTCAAGGCTAACTGAGCAGCGGTGTCGTGGGATTCATTTAAGATACTCTTTGAAGAGGTAGGATTTCAGACATTTTCAGAAGATGGGCAGGGACTCTGCTGTCTTAGCTTCAGGGGGAAGCTGGTTCCACCATTGGGGTTCCAGGACACAGAAGAGCTTTGACTGGGTTGAGCGGGTTGACCCCCCGTATGGGTGAGATGGCCAAGAGACCAGAAGTGGCAGAACGGAGTGCTCGGGTTGGGGTGTAGGGTTTGAGCATAGCTTGAAGGTAGGGAGGAGCAGTTCCCCTTGCTGCACCGTAGGCAAGCATCATGGTCTTGTAGTGGGTGTGAGCCTCGACTGGAAGCCAGTGGAGTGTGCGGATGAGCGGGGTGACATGGGAGAACTTGTGAAGGTTGAACACCAGGTGGGCTGCAGCATTCTGGATAAATTGCAGGGGTTTGATGGTAGTCTAGACAGGAGATTACAATAGCCTGGATTAGAACCTGTGTGCTGTGCAGAGTTGATTGACAGGAAGACAGGTGCATGATGGGACTGGGAGTGCTCTCTCTCTAACACACACTTAAGCTCCTCCCTCACTCTCTCTGTAAACTACTCACTATGTAAATGAGAAAGCAGCTATGCACGTGGTAGCTCAGGAGCAGTGGTGAGTGAGAGTGTGTGCTACAGGGACAACCTAATAACTCTTTATGGACCCTTTTAATCTAATAGTGTGCGGTTAAAAATATAAACTGTTCTATTGGATATGAGGCAGTTGTTGAGAGTGTATGAATATAGTTCAATGTGTATATTTGTAAGGAATAAGTGAAGTTAGAAAAATCGACTCTTACATTGTCCTTTAAAAGGGTCCCTTCAAACAAATGATTGGCACAAAAGCATACATAGTCAATTTATTTAATACAGACTTTGTTCTTTTCTAATAAGAAATACAATACAATAACGCAATATAAATAATATACAATACTATCATCTCTCTATATACATGACCATAAATGTACAGCACGCATATACAGAAACACAAATACATTTAGATGTTTGATCTCTTCCATGTGTCTTCTCACCCTCTCACGTACCACGGCTGATATTTTGCCCAACAGATGACTGCTGCAACCCAAAACACTCCTTCCACTCAAACCCCTAAGAGCTAGATATTAGAGTATTTACATCCCTGATCATGAACATATATATAAATACACAGGAATCCATTCCTTCCGTCTGGCTCCAAAGTGAAGAAAGAGGGAACAGGGGGAGAGACAAATGACCTACATTATAGTACCCAACAAACAAGCCTCAAAAAGCTCCTTCACACTTGAGAGCCATACATTGTCTCCCCAAACTGTTGATCATATGTAGCCTACCTGCTTCATGGCTATAACTAAGCTAATACCTATCACAATAACTGAATGAGGGCTGGTGCAGGGGTGTAACTGATGTTCAACATGCTTCAGAGGGAGATTGATATAAAGCCCTGAGGAGGAGGGAGACATAGATAGAAAACAACCCCCAAGAGCTGCTCCAGGACCTGTCTAACTTTGGGGCCTGGTGTGGTTCACAGTGGTGTTCCACTCTGTTGACTTGTCCCATTGATAAACAGTTGTGGGGGTTACCAAATATTGCCCTTTGATTCCTAAAAGTCCTCTATAAAATTGAAGTGATGTTTCACTAGTAAATCAACACCATGTTATATTCACATAGTTACAGTTCTACATGGTTTGGTGGTTATCTTCGCAGGTATTACGTCAGGTGCTCCACCCATATCGCCATGGCAACAGGGCACTGCAGTCAATCAACAGGTGTCCCTCCCTCTTCTGTAGTCTAGCCCATGAGATCAAGCATGAGAACAATCCCACAATGCTTTGTTCACATCCTCAGGGAGGCCGAAGATGATCTATTATATTGAAAAGATAGTTGAGTGACCGCTCTCATGTGCCAAAATGCCACGTGCGTCCACTTATATTCGTAACAACCTAACCATTACGAAACTTTAATTTGATCAAATAAGCCTCATGTAGCAAATTAGCAATTACATTTTTTGTTGACCAAATTCGACACTCTCTCATTGACCTCAATACAAAAATTCCTCACTTCATGGTCTTATTTTCGTGAACAAATTCTGGCCAGAGTAAACCCTCTCTCTTTTTCCTATCTGGGGAGGCTCAGCCACTACTGACTGTGCTTTATTGCACATGATCACACATACACACACACGCATGCGCACACACACAGACACACACACACACACACACACACATACACAAACACACTACATTCTTGTAAACACAATACACATACAGTAAAACATTCAGAGCCATGGGAATCAATTAGGAACTGAATTAAGGCATGACCAATCAAATTATAAAATGTCACTGGATATTGACTCTCACTGAGATCTGTGTGCAGGTAGATATTGTGTGCTTACTTGCTCTACAGGTTGATCAATGTGCATGCATGTGTGGATTGTGTGGATTTTAGTTGTTTACCTGTACTGGAATGTATCTAAAGTAACTAAGACACACACAGACACAGACACAGACACACACAGACACAGACAGACATACACACACACACACACACACACACAGCCACACGCCCTCTCATTCTCTCACAGCCACTGTCAGACAGTTACTGGTGGCGTCACTGCCCTCCAGTCGAGGCTTGCGTCCCTTCCTCTGTCCTCCCCCCTCCACCCAGGAGTTATGAATAACAGTTCCCCCACTGGGTGCCGGGTCCACCTGCAGCAGGGACACCACCCTCTTCTTGACACGGGTCTTCAGCGCTTTACGCAGCTTCTGCCTGGTGAAGGCATAGAGCAGCGGGTGGAAGATGGTGGTGCCATAGGCCATGGCCAGGAAGCAGAGCCTCACACGTACCAGGCTGTCACTGGGGCCCAGGCACAGGATCAACACATTGACCATGGACAGAGGAGCCCAGCAGCCCAGGAAGGTGGAGATTATGATAAGGGACATCTTGAAGACTCTCCGCTGGCGTTCTCGCCGGTCCCGGTGACGCCTCACGGCCCGCCTCAAGGCGATGATGGCCGAAACAGAGGCCTGGACACCTGGACGGTCTGCCGCCGCCGGCGGGGGGGAAATGGCGTCGGTGGAGGTAGGGACCTGGGGGGCAGGGGTCGCTGGGGTGGTGGCGATGGGGGTGGTGGTGGCGGTGTTAGTGACCCCCGTGGCCCCGCTGTCAGAGATGACCAGGGGCATAGAGGAGAGGGGTGGGGGGGAGGTGGGGGTGGGGGTGGGGGATGGGATGAGGGGCGGGTGGGTGAGGTGCTGGTTCTGGCTGGAGGAACCTCCCCCCTCTGTGGCCAGACTCAGCCCCTTCCTCCTTCGTCTCCGCCTGCGGATCCTGCAGCCTGAGTCCTTATTGGAGGCCCGTGGGCCCCTCTTGATGTGGGTGCCGATGCGGATGTTGAGGGCCTGCAGGATGCGGGAGTATGTGAACAGCATGACGACCACGGCGATGAAGAAGCAGGGCACTTGCAGCAGAAGGTGGTAGTACATGGCCAGCCCCGTGTGGTAGCCCTGCCCCCCTACACACAGCAGTGTCCGGTTCTGCCACACTGGCGGCAGGTGGTGGGAATAGTAGGGAGTAGAGGGGGAGGAGGGGGTGGAGGGGGTGAGGGTCAGCCCAGTGGGGTTTAGCCCAGTGGGGGTCTCAGGGTCAGAGGTCAGATCCCCCATGTTCATCTCCCCCCCTCCTCTTCCTCCCTCGCTGTCCTCCACCTCCACCCCCGAGAAGAAGAAGTCCCCCTCCAGGAAGGGCAGGAAGAAGACGGCTAATGACATGGCCCAGACTGCGGCCAAGAGGAGTGCAGCGCGCCGCGGGGTCAACAGCCGCGTGGCCGGCCGGACGGAGATGTCGTAGCGGTCCAGGCTGATGACCAGCACGTTAATGGCCGTGGCCACACTGGTGAAGGTGACGCAGGCCTCATGGAAGCAGCACAGCGTAGCCAGGCTGCCCCCGCCACTACCGTCTGCTGGGAGCAGGATGACCGCCACAGTCAGTGGCAGACACAGCACACACACCATGATGTCCAGCACATGCAGGCTGACCGTGACCATGTTGCTGACCGAGTCGACCAGGTTGGACTGGGCGCAGTAGAGCACCAGCACGGTCAGGTTGCTGCTGAAGCCCAGCACCAGCTCCAGCATCAGCACACTGGTGAGGGACACCTGAAAGCCCAGGGGTAAGGGGGGGCTCCAGCCCTCCTCAGCCCCCGGCGAGTCCCCTCCCTCCAGAAGCCCCGTCCCCTGCCCATCGCTGGTCTCCAGAAGGTTGCTGTAGCCCTCGGTCTCCATGGACACCGCGAAACTCGCTCACGCATAGCAATGGCCACGCCAGCCCATTTCCCGCCCTCTCCCTTTCTCTTGGCTGTGACGGGACCCTGATGAGGGTGATTGAGTGGTCTGCAGCTCTCTGAAATTCTGTGGAGAGAGAGGGAGAGGGAATAGCTCAGTTTAGCTAGTATCACCTGCATTCAAATATAGCTCATCCTAAGCCTCCAACAACAAATGTGTGACAAACATGTTATTTTTCATGAAATAGGGTGCAGCAATGAGGAGAAACAACAGTAACAGTGTGATCAGTTTTATTGGCAGCTGACTGTATAGACTATGCTAGAGGTATGATGTATGATCAGAGCTGAGACAACAACATGTGTCATGGAGGCAGTGGAAATAGTTCTGGGGGTGGAGGGTGGTGGGAGTACTTTTCTCTCTCCGAGGGTGGCAGGGAGTTAATAGGTGTGTGTGTGTGTGTGTGTGTGTGTATGTGTGTGTGTGTTTGTGCATGTGCATGTGTGTGAGTGTGTGCTGTGCAGTGAAGGGTGAGCAGATAGAGGTGACACAAACATCCCACAGCTTTTAAACAAGCCATCAGGGAGATATTGGCCTACAGAACTCCCTACCTTCTGTATTGTTCTACCTGGCTGTATCCCTGCACCAGTAAGGAGGAGCTACATAGCTCACTGCTCATACTCTGAGTGAGTGGGTGGGCGGTTCATCCTTACACAACATGCATCCTCCATTAACTAGGTCAGATAACATACATACGTTATGAAAAAGCCTGCATTCATCAAAAAAATACTCATAAATACATCTCCTGATACAAGACAAGCACTTTTCCAATGATATCGGTGATGATTAATCTACATATGAGTACAGCCAGTCTTTCTCTGCCCACAGATGATTGTGATGCACAACCATGAGAAGGTGAAACACAATGAAACATTTTTACAAAACCATTAAACACCCTCTAAACCTTTCTTCACTAAATTTCACCACCCGCGTAAAACTGTGGATAGCTAACGAGAGGAGAGGTTTTCCATGGTGATGAGCAGGTTTCAGCATTCCTCGTTGGGCTGCGTGGGAGAGCTTGCAAGGCTTGTCAACCTAGCCCAGGCCCAACTGAGTGTGGCAGTTAATAGTTTTCAGTGAGACACGTAATGAAGACGAATGAGTCAATGATCCACAGACATGGCACATAAACAAGGCTAACAGGGATGGAGGACCCAGCAGCACCCTCCCCCCCCCTCCATCTCTTCCCTCCATCTCCTTTCTCTCTTCTATCTTTCTTCAGAGCCTTGCCCTGCCTCCTTCCATCTTATGTTGCCCTAGTTGGCACATATTACCTTTCAAGTTGGATTCTCTCACAGACATAAAGTTCTGGATTATGCTCAGAACCTTGTTGTAACCCAGTTGAATTAGTTAAACTAACTCAGCTTGAAATATCATCACCCACCCACACCATCCAATTGCTAGCTTTTAAGTGGCTGCTGTAGCTGGCTAAAGGTGTTTCGAAAAGGCTGTCACATGTTTACGAGACAAAGGACCAGAGATCTAGGGCTCTATTTTCGGCTGGCGCTAAGGAGGCGCAAGTGTCAAAAAAAGGTTAGTTTGCAATTTCGTCATGTGAAAACTGGCACACTCGCATGTCCCACCCTTTACGCCAGGTTCAGCAATTTATCTGTCTAACATCAGCTCGCTTGAGCTGAGGTGGGAGGGGTTGAAATACACTATAAATACAAAAGTATGTGGACACCCATTCAAATTAGTGGATTCGGCTATTTCAGCCACACCCGTTGCTGACAGGTGTATAAAATTGAGCTCACAGCCATGCAATCTCCATAGACAAATATTGGAAGTAGAATGGCCTTACTGAAGAGCTCAGTGACTGCCCCGGTCAACTGTAAGTGCTGTTATTGTGAAGTGGAAATGTCTAGGAGCAACAACGGCTCATACGCGAAGTGGAAGGCCAAACAAGCTCACAGAACGGGATCGCCGAGTGCTGAAGCGCGTAGCGCGTAAAAATCGTCTGTCCTCAATTGCAACACTCACTACCGGCTTCCAAACTGCCTCTGGAAGCAATGTCAGTACAATAATTGTTTGTCATTGTCATGAAATGGGTTTCCATGGCCGAGCAGCCGCACACAAGCCTAAGATTACCATGCTCAATGCCAAGCGTCGGCTGGAGTGGTGTAAAGCTCTACGCCATTGGACTCTGGAGCAGTGGAAACGCGTTCTCTGGAGTGATGAATCATGCTTCACCATCTGATGAATCTGGGTTCGGCAGATGCCAGGAGAACGCTACCTGCCCCAATGCATAGTGCCAACTGTAAAGTTTGGTGGAGGAGGAATAATGTCTGGGGCTGTTTGTCATGGTTCGGGCTAGGCCCCTTAGTTCCAGTGAAGGGAAATCTTAACGCTATAGCATACAATGACATTCTAGATGATTCCGTGGTTCCAACATTGTGGCAACAGTTTGGGGAAGGCCCTTTCCTGTTTCAGCATGACAATGCCCCTGTGCATGAAGCGAGGTTAATACAGAAATGGTTTGTCGAGATCGGTGTGGAAGAACTTGACTGGCCTGCACAGAGCCCTGACCTCAACCCCATCGAACAGCTTTGGGATTAATTGGAATGCCGACTGCGAGCCAGGCCTACTTGCCCAACATCAGTGCCTGACCTCACTAATGCTCTTGTGGCTAAATGGAAGCAAGTCCCCGCAGCAATGTTCCCAGAAGAGTGGAGGCTGTTATTGCAGCAAAGGGGGGGACCAACTCCATATTAATGCCCATGATTTTGGAATGAGATGTTCACATACTTTTGGTCATGTAGTCTATTTGAGGTGCGTCCTTAAAAACATGTGCTGATATGCCAATTTCAGTCGGCACAACTAGGGAAATGTAAGACCATCCAACAACTGGTATTAGCAGTAACGCAATTGGTTATGACATTTTGCCAGTGGAGGTGCAAACAGAAGTCTTACGTACATCACCAATGTTCTATTAAAATATCACGAGCAGCAAAACAATCAACAAAAATTATTTTGTCCAAAAATGTATCTTCCACTCTCCTCTGTTGGACCTAACTGTCAACTAACTGAATATTTGGGAGCAGTATAGTGGTTAGTGGACATTTCCCCTTTCTCTTTATATTGCATCTTTTTCCAGCTCCTGTGAAAAGTTTGGATGTGCGTAAAACCCTCCATAGTCTATACAGTGGGGGGAAAAAAGTATTTAGTCAGCCACCAATTGTGCAAGTTCTCCCACTTAAAAAGATGAGAGAGGCCTGTAATTTTCATCATAGGTACACGTCAACTATGACAGACAGTCGTCCTGGTCTCTTTGCAGAAAAACAGCCCCAAAGCATGATGTTTCCACCCCCATGCTTCACAGTAGGTATGGTGTTCTTTGGATGCAACTCAGCATTCTTTGTCCTCCAAACACGATGAGTTGAGTTTTTACCAAAAAGTTATATTTTGGTTTCATCTGACCATATGACATTCTCCCAATCCTCTTCTGGATCATCCAAATGCACTCTAGCAAACTTCAGATGGGCCTGGACATGTACTGGCTTAAGCAGGGGGACACGTCTGGCACTGCAGCATTTGAGTCCCTGGCGGCGTAGTGTGTTACTGATGGTAGGCTTTGTTACTTTGGTCCCAGCTCTCTGCAGGTCATTCACTAGGTCCCCCCGTGTGGTTCTGGGATTTTTGCTCACCGTTCTTGTGATCATTTTGACCCCACGGGGTGAGATCTTGCGTGGAGCCCCAGATCGAGGGAGATTATCAGTGGTCTTGTATGTCTTCCATTTCCTAATAATTGCTCCCACAGTTGATTTCTTCAAACCAAGCTGCTTACCTATTGCAGATTCAGTCTTCCCAGCCTGGTGCAGGTCTACAATTTTGTTTCTGGTGTCCTTTGACCGCTCTTTGGTCTTGGTCATAGTGGAGTTTGGAGTGTGACTGTTTGAGGTTGTGGACAGGTGTCTTTTATACTGATAACAAGTTCAAACAGGTGCCATTAATACAGGTAACGAGTGGAGGACAGAGGAGCCTCTTAAAGAAGAAGTTACAGGTCTGTGAGAGCCAGAAATCTTGCTTGTTTGTAGGTGACCAAATACTTATTTTCCACCATAATTTGCTAATAAATTCATTAAAAATCCTACAATGTGATTTTCAGGATTTTTTTCCTCGATTTGTCTGTCATAGTTGACGTGTACCTATGATGAAAATTACAGGCCTCTCTCATCTTTTTAAGTGGGAGAACTTGCACAATTGATGGCTGACTAAATACTTTTTTCCCCCACTGTATTGTCTTAATATTATATGCACACGGGGAGCAATTATGCTGCCTGTAAATGTATTTAGAAATAGCCTAGTTAAAACAAGCTGTTAGAATTATTAGAATTATTGACTATCTTTTTAGGTCTTATCAATAGTGAGTTTAATTTAGCTTATTGACGTTTGGCATGTCCATGGCTCAGACGTAGGCCTAATGCATTTTACAGTAGGCCTATATCAGTGTGAATGATACATTAAACAATATATTTCCATATTGAAGTCATGCAATTACACTGAACAAAAATATAAATGCAACATGCAACAATTTCAAAGATTTTACTCAGTTACAGTTCAGATAAGGAAATCAGTCAATTGAAATAAATTCATTAGGCCCTAATCTATGGATGTCACATGACTGGGAATACAGATATGCATCTGTTGGTCACAAATATAAAATATTTAAAGTAGGGGCGTGGATCAGAAAACCAGTCAACATCTGGTGTGACCACCATTTGCCTCATGCAGCGCGACACATCTCCTTCGCATAGAGTTGATCAGGCTGTTGATTGTGGCCTGTGGAATGTTGTCCCACTCTTCAATGGCTGTGCGAAGTTGCTGGATATTGGCGGGAACTGGAACACGCTGCCGTACACATTGATCCAGAGCATCCCAAACATGCTCAATGGGTGACATGTCTGGTGAGTATGCAGGCCATGGAAGAACTGGGAAATGTTCAG